ACCTCATTGTAAATCTATTGTAATAGGGTAGATCTATAAGCCCATTTTTTGTATAGGGTCGATTGACCTATTTCTTATCAAGAGACCTGTCTAGTGGGTACACTCGGATTATCTCAAAATTGTACTCCAACGCTTTATAGCAATACAAATGTTAACTTTTCTCAACAAAAAAAAAGACATTAGGAAGTTCTAAAAAGATTTAGATAGCTTTAAATCCCAATTGGAGTAGAAGTGGATATAGGCCAAAAATTAAGGGGATAAAGTTCCTAATGTTCTTACCTAAATTATGATGGCTGATCTAAGGGAAAGATGGCTAAGATTTATTCTCTATCGCCTCACAAATTTCCTAAATTTCTATTGGTCAAGCTATGTCATTGGATAGGCATACCTAAAGAGGGACATATAACCTATAAAAAGAGCTGAACCCCTTTCAATTCTACAAACAATTAAGCTCTCTCTCTCTCTCCCCACACCCAAACGAGAGACTCTTCTCTCATCTTTTGTTGCCCTTTCTCTCTCCTCTTACTCTCTAAGGCGGCACACCACCCTAAAAGAAAATATAAGGGTGGCATGCCATATAAAAAAAACCCTAGATAGGGTTTGGTGAGAGAGTGAGGCACTCCCTGCCCAAGAAATGCAGGGTGCCTTTTTTGGCATGCCCTAAATTTGTTCCTAAGAGGTTCTAGTAAAACCCTAATTATGTTTTGATGCTCTCTAAACCCTAGATTGAGAGGTATTGCCTATGAAAGCTTCCCATCTTTGAAATTCCAACAGGATCAATAGGATAAAAAGTGCACCATCGGTTAGGAAGCTAGGTGTGGGATGTACTAAGTCCTATGGGGATAACCCTAGGCACTATCCAGTAAGTCTTCCCAGCTGTTTTTATTTATTTTCAATTATATTCGCACATTTACTGTGATTTTTTAGGAACATCTTTTGTACTTAAATTGATAGTGGAAGGTTGGATTTTATTCATGGGTTGTGTTTATTTGTTTTGGCAGTAAAAGGAAATATCCTAAGTTATATTTAAGGTTTTAATTTTCATCTACAGCAGTGTATTGTGGCACTTGTAAGTAGAATTTAGTTTCATTAGTAAAAAAAAAATGAAAATTTTTCATTTTATTATCTTGAATTCCACATAGCCACACCTTTCAATGGTTGAATAAGGTAATATTCATTTTGAAAAGAAATAATCCATATGGTAAGATATCTATGATAAGGGTAGGGCTAGATGTCACGGGGGAGATTCTAGGTATGCCCTATGCAGCCCTAACACCCAAGCCTGCCCTACTTGGATGCTAGATTCTGCCTCTCTCAATGCACCACACAGCAGCAGAGTATACTTACAAGGGTAACCTACCGCTAATCATCGCTCTCGCATTGTTGGCTCTAGTTGCGTACCGCCAGCTCTCGATCATGCACCACTACCTTGGTCACTCTCATGGTGATGCTTTGTCGACTACATTCCACCACTCGACCCCAATGTCTCCTGGAAGGGTCCAAAACTTTCAGGCCCTCAACTTCCTCTCGTCAGTCCGCACCATTGGACCAGGCCGCCTGCATTTGGCTGCCTGCACATACACATCAGACAGGTCACATGAGTCTTACAGAGAAAGGGGTCTAACAAGCCTTCCTCACTCTAAACTTCGACATCCTCATCGGACGCTTGTCCTTCACAGGGTTCCCATAAACCGCAGCTCCAACCAATGCTCATGTCCTCTCACTTGGTCGGATCCATTGCTTGCCACCAAGTCTCACAGGCTTACACACGTGATCGATCCTTGTGCTACCACCATGTGTCAGAGTCAGTGGCCACTTCCATTGCTGCCACCACATCCCACTTGTTGAACGCATGGTTAGTTCTGTATGCTACCATCATGTGTTTGGGTTTGCGACCAAGTCCCACGGATGTCTTCCAAGTGCTCATTTTGGGTCTTGGTATGAGCTTTGCACTTTCAACGAAATACGTTCGATCTTGCCTCCAAGACAGTTAGGTTCTTCTCACAAGTCACCATCCTGGATCCCTCAAGTAAGCTGCTTCTACTGTTTCTCGAGGTGGTCTATACAATCCTGGGTACATGGCCAAATCTGTTGCAGCCACCACGCTTCAAGCTTTCTTTAATACCATCTGTCACGGCCTTAGTGAAGCCCGCGCTTCTATTGTACGATACTCGCTCATTGGTCTGTAAAAGACATGTCAGTCTTCTCAACCACAGCACAAGTGACACCAACAAGCACGAAAAGATGGTCAACACTAGAATGCACCACCCACACATTAGCACAACCAACACAAGTATACACCATGCCCAAAAGAGAGTAGCCACGCACACACACAAGAGAGGGACATAGTAGAATAGGAAGATATTTGTATTCCATTAATACTCAATAGCTTATAAGATCTGAGGTATGTTACAAATGAGAGGTCTTTCCCTTTATATAGACACTAAACCTAACAATCAATGGCTAAGATTAATACACATGGCACAAATTCGATAGCTAACAACTATCTAGGCTTTACATTATTCTAAAATACTCTTTCCAGCTCTTCTCTTAGGAAAGATCTAGGAACCTTGTGTCACGGAAGAAGAACGGCTAGGGCGTTGCCAGATTAGGTGGGGGAGAATGTTACACCCCAAAAGTTAAGTGATGCTGCATTCCTACAAGGCTTGTACACTATGTACATAGACCCTTGTTTATCATTTTGGCCTAGAACTATAGAAAAATCTAGTGGATTCTAGTGGGTTCATAGAAGGTCTAAAAGGTTCTTATATCTTTCCTAAGAGAAGGGCTGGAAATAGTATTCTAAAACAATGTAGAGGCTAGAAAGTTCCAAGCCATTGGATTGGTGCCATGTGTATTAATCTTACCCATTGGTTGTAAGGCCTAGTACCTATATAAAGGGGAAGACCCCTCATTTGTAACATACTTCAGACCTTGTAAGCTACTGAGCATTAATGGAATACAAAGCTCTTCCTATTATATTGTGTCCCTCTCTTGTGCGTGAGCGTAAATGCTCTATTTTGCGTAGTGCGTACTTGTGTTGATTGTGCTAGTGGGTGGGTGGCGCACACTAGTGTTGACCACCTTACCGTGCTTGTTGGTGTACACTTGTGTCATGGTTGGGAAGGTTAACTCGTCCTTACGGACCAAGGAGCGAGTCCGCACAATCGAAGCACACGCTTCACTAAGGCCGTGACATATAGCTCAATTAGGTAGAGCATCTCCTTTACTGAAGGAAATCAAGTTATGTTGGTCTTGTTTCACATGATATAGTTTCCCATTCCCACCTATTTCACAAGATATGCATCTTTATCCATGCAATGTTCCATTGAAGTGGGTAACATGCATCATAATAGCCTCATGCACTTAATCAGCAACATCATGCTTCAGAAAGCATCACAATAGAGGATTAGTTTCTTAAACATGCCCAATTGGAACTAATGTATAGATTTGTGTGGACAGCATATTCTTTAGCCACATATTCAATGTGAAACACAGTGTCAAACAGCCTCAATGTGCTTCATCCTCATAAAACTAGATTACAATCTAGTTTTGTATGGAAAACGCAGAGAAGAATAGAGGTTAATAAAAAGATACAGACTATCACTAACTTGCCCAGCAACAATACACTATATCCCAAAGAGAAATGCGTGAGAAGAATAAAAGATCACATACAGGTCCAGGACGAGCGTATGGAATAATGTGTATGCAGGAACCTGTATTTAGGCATCATTGACCAAAAGACTAATGGTGATTACCATATAGTTGCTAAAGGAAGATTGTCACTTCTTGCTCCCTCATTATTATGCATTCCCATGGTGTTTCCAGCAATTTTATTTTACATATTTGCACAATAAAAGATTAAGACTCAAAAGAGAAGCCATCAAGTCACTACATGAACAACATCATGTTGTCTTTAACAGAACTGACCAAAAAAGTGCAATAGAAACTAGTCACATAACGAAAGTAGCATGAGGAACCATCAGAAGCAACTGAGGAAAGATAATATTTCCACAATCAACTCAGGTAGATTATTTTCCAATCTAAAAAATGGGTCAGCTGAATCTTAGGAAGACTTCGGTCAAAAGCAGATAGGGGAATCAAGCAATTAATACATAAACTTACCCAAGAAGGTTAAAATCTTTCATGCCAAAACAAGTAGTAGCATGGCTGCGAAACAATATCATCCACACAAATTATGACAATAATGCTTGTAGTACATTCAACAAGGAGCACTCAAATATTGCTTCATACCACAAAACTGTTTTGAAGGAGACTTCTTAGAATTGGAAATCAAAGCCACAAAAATGGGCATTAGCATGTAAAACTTATTAAGAAAATCTCAATTAAGAAATACATTTTCCCCGTAAGTTCACAAGCAGACACTTCTGGACTGATGCAAGAGCAAAAAGTATACAAGTTCTTTGTCATCATGACCCACCAACTGAGATAAAATACTGTCATGGTTAAGGATATACTAAACCTTAGGTACTAATGAATCTCGAAGCAATCCTGTTTTCATTTTTGATCAGCTAGGGAACAATTCATTGTAATCTCAGCTTATGCTTTACCTACTAAACCCAACATCAAATAGTTTACATAGAAGGCAAGAAACAAATCAAAAATGCCATTTCCTTCATGCTTACTGCCAACAGCTATCATTCCTTTACAAACGCATTAGGAACTGGAACAAAATCATTAAGGTTAATTTCGTGCAATAACTGTGATATTAGGAATTTGTAATTTTGGCAGAAAGAAGTCAATCGTTCTCTCATTGAAGTTATGGACGAATGTAGAATTTTCTATAGTTACGCTTAAGATGTTTCACGTATCATTTCTTCTGTACTGCTCTTTCTTTTGGTAACTAAGCTTAACCTTAAGCTAATTTTCCATGGATCATTTTTTTTGCATTGCATGTCAAACATACAGAGTAAAATAAAAACGTGTTCCATCCCATAGTTCCTGGTCCAAGATATACAAGTAAAGGAAAAATATATCACCTGGTTAGTTACAGAATCATTCAGCTTGTCAAGAACCTTGATAATCTTTTCAATATTCTTGTCAGCATTGAGACTAGGATTCTGTAAAGCAGCAGCTTCAAATCCACTGAGAGCAGCATCATACTTCTCCATAAACTGGTCCAACTGAATAAAACCTTCTTGGAAATGAGATCTCACTAATTGAAGCACTATTCAACTATAAAGTAATGGTAGAAACTAAAAAAGATAACGAGATGACACAGATCGAATTAAGATGATGAAGTCCAGTCACTTGAGTAGAATAACAAATGGGGAAAAATAAAGTTAACATTCTATCGCAATAAAGTTTAATTATACAGGGAAATTTATCAACATACCCATAAAAGGTCAACTATTTAACATTTTAAATTTGCAGCTATTCCAAAACTTATGATCATGTGTCTTTTCTTGGATATTTGGAAATTCAATCAAAAGATATAGGTAGATATTTAAATAGTTCATGTCTCATGGGCATTTGGATAAATTTCCCAATTATATATAAAACACACCTCCAATTCAAAAAGAATGGTCAGTTACCAATTAAAAAATTTAAAAAAACCATAATTCTAATATTCGGATTTTTTTTACTTATGTTTACAGGAAAGATAGTAGTTGTTCAATTCATCTTATAACTCAGAAATAAACAAAAGTGAGATTCCCAAAATCATTGTACAGTCTATACGAGATGTGTAAGAACTACAAAAGAGATAAGAAATTTATAAAATCTTGAAACAAAGTGATGAGGGTATCAATTAAGTTGAAAAAAGAAGCCCCAAAAGTGGAATCATAGATTACAGAATTTGCCAGGAAGTAACATTGGTTAGTTATTTTACAATGACAAAACTGTGAAGACTTTCTAAACAAAATAATAACAATTAGAAAACTTTAAAAAGGTGGGCCGAGCTAAGGTCTCACAATGGCCTTGTTGAAGTGAAGATCTGAATTGGTTTTCATGCTTTCATCCTTCTCCTGAAATTTTCCCCAAAAAAAGTAATGAAAAAATAAAGTTATTTTAAATTCCAAACAAATAGCAGAACATGCATTTCTGCAAATTCAACCCTTGAGTCCATCTTTGCAGCCTAATCTATCATAACGCCAGGGAAGTACAGACCATGCAGCAAATAAACCACATAATCTGTTACCTTATAACTCCATGGCCAAAATTTGTGTAAACTTACAGCATTTGCATAAGCTTTTAATGCATGCTTCAGTTTTTCCTCATCCTGGGTTCCACCAACAAAAAAGCTGACAAAGTATGAATTGCCTAGGGTGTCTGCTATAAAGAAAGATAATTTAGCAGAATTATACGAGAAATTTGCAAAGAGAATATGCAACTATAAGTAACAAACACCACTACACCCAGTAAGGGAGTTCCCAAAACAAATAGAACATATTAAGAACTAAAAAAAAAAATTCCATGCTTTCAATGGAGATGTTTATTATCTAGGTATAAAAAGCAATACATGTCCACTATTTGGCTTGCAAAATGCAAGTAATTGGAGATGAGCGAGAAAAGGTAGAATGCGCAACGAATATCTTGTAAAGAGATGATGCCTCCATGAATAGCAGAAGAAAGGTTGAAGAGGTAATGAGAATTTTATTCCTCCCACTAGGGGTATTGATCACTCTTGAGTTAAATAACTCTTGCCTCAATTAAAGAAAACAATAATGCCTTATTTCAAGAAAACAACTAAACAACAATTTAATATTTTCTATACTGACTGATCAAGTACAAGAATAGAGTACAGACTAAATTAAGAGAAACCCATCAACGATTCCGATAAAAATTTCAGAGCCCCTGCACAACGAAAAAGGCAAGACCTCGCAACAACAAATTTATATCATGCAAGAATTAAATAAAGAATAAAACATGAAAGAAAGTAGATGCTGTTGCATTAGCATGTTCAAACATGGGGAGCATGTGAAAAGTATGAAGGGGTTGGCAAAAATTAGAGACACAGGGCAAGTCAAAGGAAACCTTGTTCTTTTTTTTTTTGGGTAGTTTGGTGGTAGGAATCAAACTTGAGATATTAGCTGTTGCAAATAAACGTCAAACACTAACTACTCAATCTCAAGCCCGGTTCCACAAAGGAAACCAAATCAATGTAAAAAGAAATACAAATGTTCTTGGAATTGTGATAAATCAAGACAATCCAAGAAATGTGAATAGCAACGCATTTTAGAACAGTTCAATGTCCACTAGAAAGAGCCATATGTGTGACATCCATAAAAAGTTGCCGTGTATTCCAAGGCTGGTGGCTCCATAAAACCAATATCTAGCCAATAGTGAAAGGGTGGATATTATGTCCTTCAAGACTTGCTTAAGCTAGTGAAAAGACAAAGGAAAAGCCATCACCTATAGCCAAGAGGAGATCGTCTTTGAGCTGAACCCTAAGGAGCCTTGGGTAAGCCCTCAAGACGACTTGGCTGAAAACAAGATATGTGCAAGTCTGAATGACATGGCTTAAGATCATAAAAAGCACATCAGCTCTCCCTGTGAAGGATACAATTTTCAATTGACTAGGTTTCATGAGCAATCGTCAAGAGTTTGGACCATTAGCCACCTTAGAAACCGTAACCCGTAGAGATTCTTCGTGAGAGACTATGAATGTTCGATCCCTGGCCGCACTAAAAACTTTGGATATTCTGGCCAAATCAGCAGGCAAATCCGATAGAGCTGGTTTGGGCGTTGTAGAGTTGTAAGATACCTTTCCAACAAGTTGTCACAATAATGAATGTGATAAACTAGCAAAAAGTTGTACATTGTCAAAGACAGAGTACCCAAAACTGTCTATATGGGTCGAAGTAGACACCCTGAGTTAACTTCACCCAATTAGGTGACAAAGGTAGCCTCACCAAGTATCTTTACCAAGAACGATGGATGCTTGACCGAAATAAATCCTTTGCGAACCATTTGGAAGTGCTAGTATGCACAGTCTCATTGAAGTAGACCCCTGAACATACCTATCGAAGTAACCTGAAACCACTAGTTCAGTTTGCCTATGCTTCTCTCTGCCAAAAGACGAAGGATCAACCCTCGACCCAAGTACTTGAAGGTGCCATCCTTTAGCCCTCAAACGTGCATATCTTTGTCGAAGGTGGCTAGTCAAGAACTGGTAATCCCTTCGAGAAAAGAAGCCACTAAGTCGGTGGCTATTAGTATAACAAGAGGCAAGATATGTTGGCCAGGAGCCACTTCCATGAAGCAAGGGGAGGGCACATGTCTCTTGTATGGGACAAAGAGGACCAAGTGTCTCTTGTCTCCAAGATTGCCAAGAAAGATAAAGGACCATCTGGAAGTTATATACCCATTTGGTGAGATCATTTTATAAGCCTAAGAACTCAGGGCAAGGAGGGTTGTATGTTGGGATATACTTTGAAACCACTTTTTCACGTACTTGCCTAATCACTCGATAGAGAGGGAGTATTGTCCATTAGTCTACATAGGCTCTGCAATGAACCTACCTTTGTGTGGCCTTGAGACCCTAGAAGGATCGAGGAATAATTCAATGGCACATGGTGCCAAGACTTCTCTCTAAGCTTGCGACCATAGTTATCAAGACCGGATCAGACTGGTGGTCCGACCAGTTAGACTGTCGACCGATGCCTAAGCAGATTTGGTCCAAAATAAAAATCAAGTTTGATCAAAACCAGTATTTGACCAGTTTTAGCATGTCCAACTGACCTGTTTCAACTGACCAAACAAAGTGGACAACCTTTCTTTCTAATATATTACATATATTTAAACTCAACCATTGTCGATCTCAAACCCAAATGAGAAAGAATGAGGATTGTGTTAGGTTGGCAGCTGGCGAGAAACTTTTTTCACATCTCTATCATGATAACCGACCCCAAATAGTTGGGATAAGGCTTGGATGATGATAATGGTGATGATATTACACATTTAAATTATTATTTATAGTTTTCTTAATATTTTTAACATTCGGTCAAACCGTTTCAACCAACAACCAAACCGGTTTTGATTAGACCGAGCCCCACACCAGCTCAGTGCGTGGTCCTATATTGATAACATTACTCAGAATTGTTATCTCCACAAAATAATGGACCTTGAAGGAGCTTGTTCTTGACAATGGTAAAATGGGTTTTAGTGAAATGCTTAACATTATAAAGGCCATGAGTATTGTTGATGTATACAAAACTTCAGCTTGAAACCATTTGTTGTAATGAGATATTAATGCATATGTGATTGCTGCAAGTGTGTACATAGTGTAACTGCTTTAGGCACCTCCCATTTTCTCTAAGGGGAAGTTTGGTAGCCAGTTGCAAGGGATTCCGTAGTAACTTGACATCTGGAAGTTCTAAAACTTTATTGATCACTTGCATGGAAGTTCTCGAATACAGAAATCAAGCTTCACATTGATCTAATAAAACTTCACAGATATCAAGCTTCATGGATTCACAAAGAGGGGGGGATAGAAGAGAGAGAGAGAGCAGGATTATAGAGAGGGGACTTAGAGAGAGAGGGAATAGGCTCAAATAGAGAAGAGAGAGAGAATGGAGTTAGAGAGAGGGGGAACAGTTAGTAAGAGGACTTAAAGAGAATACAAATAGAGATTGAAAGGAGCTCAAGAGAGAAATGACACAATGGAGACAAAATGAAGTTAGAAGAAATGGCACCAATAATAGCGGTTGCTTCTCGGCAATTGGAAGAAAGGGGATGGCCTATAGCCAAGATGCCTTGATCTTCAAATTGAATGGCCGGGTCTCGCTCCTGAGCCGAAGAACCCTTGCTTAACACCGCCCCCGACTATTAACCCTTATCGTCCCCTGCCGATCCTTTAGGGGGGCCTCCTCTCTTCAAGGAACACTCGCTCGCTTCTCCTGGGCTTTCTGGCCTTTTGATCGAAAGGATACGGTTAGAGTTTGAAAGGGTACTATTAGAGAGAGGAGCTAGAGGGAGAATGGCATGGTTAGCAGAAGAAAGGAGTTTGAGAGAGTTAGAGAAGGAGAGGAAATAGTAAGAGGGCACAGTTGGAGAGAGGTGTTATAAAGAGAAAGTGCATGGCTAGAGAGAGAGTAAGTGAGAGAATATGGGCAAAATTAGAGAGAAGATTTAGAGAGGGAAAGGTGTCAAAAAGAGATACGGAACATTCAGAGAATAACATAAATAAAGGAGTTAAAGAGACAGGGCATGATTTGAAAGAGTTACAAAGAGAAAGGTTATGGTTTTTGTTCGCTCTTTTCCAAAAGGGCCCTTACTGTTGACCAGCTACAAAAGAGGGGTCTTCGCATCCCTAATAGGTGTGTGATGTGCTGCACAGATGAAGAAAGCACGCCCATCTTTTTCTCCTCTGTCCCGTGGCTCACGAAATGGAGGGCCCTTCTCCAACTCTTCAAATGCCAATGGGTTACGCCCAACTCGGTCCTACTTCTGTTTCGCTCCTTCCACCCCTTCCCTTGGCCCAAAGCTGGTATTCTCCTATGAAAGGCCTTGGTTGTTGCTACCCTCTGGACCTTGTGGAATGAACGCAACAGCAGAATATTACGTGGTGAAAGGTCCTCGCCAAGTGAAATGTTCGACAAAATTATATCCCTGGTTATCTTTTGGGTGACTGCTCACAAAATGTTTAAAGGATTACCCCCATCCGCCTTCTTCCAAGACTTGGAAACCTTACTCTATTCAAGAAAACTCGTATTCCCTGTGCCTCCCTTTGGATTCCACCTATCCCAGGGCAAACTAAATTGAACTTTGATGGATGCTCCACGGGTAATCCTAACCCTTCTGGGATTGGTGGTCTCATTAGGGATCATGCACGCCATATCCTCGTCTCCTTCTCCAAGTACATCGGCCACACAAATTCCAATTCGGCAGAGGCCCTCACTCTCCTGAAGGGCATAAGGCTTTTTAACCCCCTGTGGAGCTCTTCTTTAGTGGTTGAGGGATTCCAAGAATATTATTCGATGGGCGCCTCCGGCCTTTCTCCTCGGCCATGGACGCTTGCTTATATATTTGAATATTTGTGCAAATTTGCAGGGCTATAGACATCTCTTGGAAGCATATATGACGGGACGGAAACCACGAAGCTGATTCTCTCGCGAAGGAGGCTGCGTCTGCGGTTTAGACACCCCCTCGTTCCTCTCTCTAGTTTCTCCATGGGACCTTGTTTTGTACATACATGGGCCTCTATACTGTTGTTTTTGCATAGGGTTCCCCTTAGGGGGGCCCTTTTATTTTTGTATAGAGCTCTCGGCTTGTGGGAGGCCTCATTTTTGACCTAATGTACTTCTCTCTTTTTAATATTATAGAATTATTAGCCTCTTAAAAAAAAAAGAACTAGCGAGATAGAAAAATGATATAGGAAGACTAAAAAAAAATGAGGAAAACTTCCTAAAAAACCAGGATAAGCAAACTTCAATGCGGTATTTGGAAACTATAGATTCACATTTTTTTGAGAACCTAAAACTTCCTAAACTCAGTTTCCCGTAGCACTTCTTGTTAACAAACGAAGCAGTGACGTGAAACTGGAACTTCCAGTTTCTAGATCTAAACTTTCTTGTTATCAAACATGGCCTAACTCTAGCTTTTGATGAACAGAAAATAGATTATCTAGACTCTACTCAGAACACAAAAGTCAAAGGAGAACGTCAACTGATGTTTGTTAAAGGAATAAAAGAAGCTAAGGGCTTATGAGAGGCTAATCCCACACAACTGCAGACATAAAAGTCAAGGTCAAAAGGAGAGACAAAATAACTTGATGTCTTACTTCTAAAATCATTTGAGAGCCCCGAGTGTAAGAGGAAGGTAGAAAAAAGGCATGTAAGAAAACTACTTCAAGTCTTGGATGCCCTCTAACTCCATAAATGAGTCTTGAGCTCTTCTGAGGGAAATGTGCAAATCACTCTAAGGGGAAGTGAAGGGAGCTATCACCAAATACAATTTTCTGATGCAATAGCATATATTGTGTCCAAGAAAACCCATTTTCTTAAATAGCAAAACATGTATGCAAGTTTAAGTTGGTAGCAGTAACCAGGCAAGCTACAACACAATCATAAGATGGGTTCCAGCTATTCAAAGGTGTGACTACTGCGATAAAGGGATGTGTGGTAGTTCAAGGATTAGCAGATATTAAAAAGATCCCACATAAATATGCATTGGTGAGTGGGTTCCTGGAAAAAAAGGTAGGCATTATCTAACCAAATAGCATAGGAATGCTACAGTTCTAAATTTTCTCGGGCAAGACTTGCACATACATTAGAGCACCATGACATAATAGTAAGAGAAGATGTATAATGAAAAACATTAAATGCGATGTAATCAATCCAATTTAAACGATTCTTTTTAACATTTTCAAAGAAATGTTTATAGATGGCAAAAAAGAATCCTACGCCAGGAGCTTCCATCCTTGATATCCAACATGACTGCTTCTTTTGCGTGACCAATGCTCTCTTCAACTAATTCCAATGGATTTTCAGTTCCTGTAGGAAAAATGACATAGAAGAACGAACATGAGTAGCATTCAAATTCTTATATCCAAGAGAACCAACCATCTCAACTTGTGCACACATGAGTCAAAAGGGTAAATTTAGAGAGAACTTCACAGATTTCATATCAACATCTAAAGAGAGCCGTCACTACGTATATGTGCAAGGCACCCCCAAATAAACAGCATTCAATGTAATTCCTTCTTGTCTAAAATCTAAATCATGTCCTCAAGTGATTGATGTAACCCACAACATCCAATGGATAGTTCCAACAACATCCACATCCACCTTGATACACCAGCTGCCACAAGAGGTATGGTCATATAACTCAAAGGGCCAAGATAGCTTGAGATCAGGAAAGAAGCACAAGGGACTCTATGAAATGAATCGAGTCAAAGCAAGTTGCATGGACACAGGTATGTGCACCAATGCCAGACACAGGTATGGCGTGTCGGATTCCTCATGCCACGAAAACGAGTATTCAGCAACACAGCTATATTATGAAGAGACAACAAAATCCAACCGTGTATTATTAATATCCTATTTCATAATCTGTAGCAACGAAAAGACAATTATACCTTAGTTGGCTGAATCCATAGATATTTCTTGATTTTGTAACATAGAATAGAATCGAACATTGAAGAGATTAGTTGACAACAGTAAAAAGATGGGGCGATGTGAAAAGGAGTATATCCCTCTCCTCGTAGTGCCTTCCATTCCACTATTCTGATCGAGAAAGATTCCACCAAGTCAGAATTCAAATGTTTCCTTGGCCGTGTGGAACATGGATTAGCATTATCCATTGATATTTTTACATATCCACAGATATTTTCACATATCCATAGGTATTTTCATAGTACATTTGTGTCAACTCAAAACCAAAAGAAGATCAAGTCTCTAAGATAATGTGCCCAATGGTTAGTGACAAAAGAAAATAATCTGGAAGTATCTGTGTTAGTGTATGTACATTGACATGAATATGACCAGGTTACAGCACCCAAACAGAAGCATCCCATGTACTAGCAACCAAACAGAAGAATCCAATGTAATAGAGTTAAGCAAATCATCCGTTGGGTTACCTAAAGGGGAAGAAGGCAAGGCTCTTGAAGATACATCTAAGTTATACTAAAGATTCCATGAAATGTTTAGGATTGACTAGAAGTCAAACAAATAACACGAACAATGCAAGTCATGCATATAGATATTTAGAAATGCAACAATCGAAGCTAGTTACACACAAATCACAAGCAGACCCTCCATATGTGTATTTGATCACTGGATTTGACCAGAGCCATTTCTAATTGTATGTAGAAGATATACCAGTTGCACTCTCAACTTCTCACATAAAAAGCATAGGGTCTACCTCCATACAATTTTATGTTAAAAAATTATGTCAAATAGTGAGTTTTTGGGGAGCCTAATATCTGCTTGAAATCATGAACATATGTTTTTTCTCAACTGTAAATATGCTCTTACAACAAATATACTACCAGCACCCTCCACATATTGTCCAGCCATATGCTATAGGGAATATATTGATGGGTACTGCCATCTCATAAGAAAAGTTGATATGATGAGTTATTGCCATTTCAGTGGGCCAAATCATTAATAGCTCGCAGATAACTTGACGAATGGAATTTGAAGAGAGAGAAATGTTGTTTATTAGTGAATTGAGAATGTTAGATCTTGCAATGCCAATTTGAGAGGTGTTTATTACATTCAAAGAGACAACAGTTGGCCTTGATGTACAGTTATAGATCATCATTTATCTTTGAAGTTGAAAAAAACATACATATAACCATAGTTTCAAAAGGCGGACCTCCCAACACCTGGGCGCCCGCCTAGGCGGATATGCCTGGGCACCCTCCTAAACCCACCTAGGCAGCCAACCAGGGCCTGCGCCCCACCCAGGGGTGGGAATTCAGCTCCTTGAGGGAATTTTTGGGTCAATTTTTTAATACTAAAGGGGTAAAACCCATTAGAGGCTATTTTAGAGAGAGAAAACCAAAACAAAAAAAAATTCTACAAGGCCGCCTAGGTTCAGGGCGCCCGCCTAACCACTGGGCGGCCTGGACCCCCCTCCCCCCCGACCACCTAGGTGCCGCCTAGCGCTTTTTGAAACACTACATAAAACTTTTCCTCTTTGAAAGATAAAAAGTACACAAGTTGTTTTATGCTAGGTGAATTCAAATAAAATATCTTGTAAGGGAACCCTTTTTTGTAAAAAATAACAACGCCGTTTGGGCCAGTTTTTTTTCTCATTTTCTTCTCAACTAATTTCATACTTGACTTACTGAAATTCCTTGCAGACATTTTAAAGCACTTAGAACTCCCAAGTGTCTATGGATCAATCCAGATCGTGGTTCAAGCCAAATGTACAAAAAAACAGCCGGTCCCCACGGCAAGCAATAAAACTCAGCTATGCATGCAAGTACGCAGAAAATACCTTTCCATATAGAACTCTCAACAGAAAGTGCAGATCAAGAATCCAACACAAATTACCTCCCCATGTCGGGGGTAATAAGAAGTTGGGAACTCAATCAAATTTTTGGAACGTGCTGGAATCACACCAACGAGATGCCCAAATTTCTTCATAAATAGAGGAAATGGGCCAATATTAGCCACAAGACCAAAATCTCAAGTAATTAAGCATCATGAGGACGGGAATAGGCTCCTTGCCTTCAGCTATTTTTCTTTCAAGCATTGACAGAAGACACAATATCCTCTTTTCCCGACCCTGCAAGAAAGAGAGAGAAAACTGTGATAGCATGAAGCAAGATTGGTCAAAACACAACAAAAATGCTTCCTCAAACCAGGGTTCAAGATCGGCAGACTAGGCCTAGGCAGACCTGGGGTAGCCCATTAAACTAAGGGACCTTAAATTGAGGCCCCACCTGACCCGACAAGCCATGTGAAGGGGGCCAAACCGGGACCATGTTGATCAGGGCCTTTAGGACCCATCTGGCTGGACAGGCCCATTCACACCCTATTAAAATGGAAATTTACATAGAAAGGGCTTGTTGAACCTTAATACTAAGGCTTGGGCCCAGATTATTAAACTAATGAGCCTTAAATTGAAGGCCCAGCACAGCCCAGTGAAGAGGCCCAAACTATTGGCCCGTGCCTTCGAGGCCCATCGGACTAGCCCAGCCCATTTGCACCCAACCCAAAACCAGAGAAGTGAGTCAAAAGAGACAAAAAAAAGGAGGGGGGGCGGGGGGGGGGGGACCTTATTTAGAGCTAGCAAGAGACAATTCTTAGCAGCAGCCAATTCCCCCTTCTTCCAGAGGCAATTACCTAAGCACAGCCATGCATCTTGGATAAAAGGATTCAACTTAATCTGGAGCAACACAAAAAAAACAAAATTACAAAATCTCCATGAACATAATTTTAAGCAGACATACAGCCAAAACTTCTCTTCAACAATCATACAGCTTTCTTCATTATTACAATATCAATATAAAAGAAAAAAATAATAATAACGTACAGCTTTTGACAAATGATCTTCTGCTTCCTTACAATGTTCAGGAAATACATCCAATATCTTCCCTCTTAGATACTCATAAGTAGCTCGCTCTAATGAAGAGACTCTTTTTTCTGCAAAAGAGGCATAACATAATGTATCAAGAGTCCAATATACATGGGACCATAAATGTTCTTCCATATCACTCTTTTTCTTTTTTTCCTTTTCTTTTCTTTTCTTTTCTTTTTTTTTAAGTATATCATTGAGAGATAAGCATGGATTTAGCCAAAAACCAATAGGCTCAGACAAAGTGCTCCATGCAGTATAGAACAATACTAGGACGCAAACAACAAGTTAGGTAAAGCTCGTCACATTCCTGCAATGAAATGCAAATATGAAATGACAGTCATATCCATACAATTATTATAGATAACAAGTTTTTGAAACACATGGTCCTAACTATGGCCTTAGGCTGGATCATCGTGCTACGGGAGCATGAGGCTAGATAACATAGAAAGAAGAATGAATTGGGAGGTGAATAGGGGGAAAATATGTTACGTAAACATAGAGTGCAACAGGAATCAGAATCAAGAAACATGATTGAGGCCGAGTCAATATTCAGATGGATTTTGGTAAGGAGGCATTGAACATCCTTTTCCCATGCTTATATAATCTAACCACTGTTCAAGAGGCATTGGATAGCCAGCATGGAGAGGAGACACCATAGGATAGGTGGCCTCTCTTTCAAAAGAAACCTAAGAATAAAAGGATTGAGTCCCACAGAGCAAAGTGTTACTTCCACTGCTAGTCTTAGACCAAGGGCTTTCTGAAAAAGCCATCTAAGGAATTATTATAGCATGAATTTGTAGATCTCTGTAGGAATCTTGAGCCTCATAATGCAGGGGGCCCAAAGAACCTCAGTAAGACTCTCATGACCCTTACAAGGCATGTTTCTTGTTAAGATGTAAAGGAGGTTTAAGCAAGAAATTTTTGCCAGGCCTCAAATTTTCTTTCACACCTCTGAGACCTTTGATAGTAGAGATGGGATGGGACATGCTCAATGTCATTAGATGATGATGTAGAAAAACAAAATACCCTAGAAACTTGCTAAAACGTGAAAGATATAGTCAAGAAAGGGGAAAACATGTCTGTATCCAATTCAAACATGCACAAAAAATGCCAATTACATGGTAGGCTAATGGGCTGGAGGGAGTTCGAGGGGGACTCTCTCTTGAATGAACTCTTGATCTTACCCCTGCCATTACCGTAGTTGCTTCTCTTATTTTTCTATTGTGTAATACGACCCCTAGATTTCAATTCATTCCAGTTTAAAACAACATTTTAACCTTTATGATATTAAAAAAAAAAAAGTTAGAAAAGGCAAATTTCAAGGCTAGAGTTCTATAATTTATGCATGAAAGATAGCGCATGCATCAAGTACTTTCATTGGGCTAAAATTTCTAAAAATAAACTAGACGCAACATTATTCTAGCATAAATCAATGCAGTCAATTATTTAACGATAATAACTAAAAGCAGCTGTCACATTCTCCTCCAAACTAAGCATAAAAGCTTTTGATGTTCTTGCAGCCTTCAAATTGTCTAGGGCTCATCAGATCTTAATAAAAGCATGTCTAAGAATGAGAGGTACTTCATGCCATGCAAACACAAGAGGCCCAACAATATGGTGTAATGTTTGCAAAACAGAAGGATCTTCTTAAATATACAATGTAATGGAGAGAGGTGATGGAGTAGACCCAACGGGACTCATAAGTTATATCATATGAAAAGCATCAAATCCAATAATATCAGGGCCTTTGCCTAAAGGTCATCAAAAAGGAGCCACAGCTAGAACACAAAATATTGACGTCCCCATGTCCAATAGACACTCTTTTCTTTTCTTTTCTTTTCTTTTTCTTTTTTTTGTAACTGCAGGAATACTCATATTATTGTATCATAAATGAAATCTGGATCACTAGCAAATTGGGGGGAAGGTCATCAGAGATAAATAATTCTCCGAACCCCCTGGGGCGTGTAGTATCATCTCTCCAGCACGTGTTTAGAAATACATTGAATTTTTACAGTTTCCTCCTATAGATTGAAGAGAGCTCTCTAAGAATAACATAAGGCTACAAAAGGATGGAGTGATCCCATGGAGATTTTAATTCATTTAAACTTTAATTCAAATTTTGACATCCCAAGGGTGGCTCATACAAATATTAAGGTTAACTTGGTGATGGATGGTTTAACAAATATATGGGCAGTAAATAGGAAGGTTTGCGTATAAGGACTTTCAGCCACCATACTCCAAGAATCAGCAAAAACATGAGATACTGGACTTGTTTATTATAAGAAGAGGTATGAGATTATGAATTATAACAAACACTGCAGAAAAAAAAATGACATGTTTATGATGAAGTAATAAACTTTTCAATGATGTGGACATTGAACCAAAATAAGAGTAATGGCTATAAAGATTAGAAAGAAGTAAGAAAATTCACGAATATGATATAACAACCACTATCTGTAGACAAGGTAGAGTCACTTGAAAAAGTGCAAGAATATGAAGGAAGACTGGCATTTCTTGTCAATGATTCCAAGTAGCAAACTCAATAACCCAAGAAGTTTTAGATATAAGTAATGCTTGACAAGGAAATGCATTAACAATAGGAACAATCATCTGAACTTCCACAATAGGGAGGATTAAATAGGCAACAAATGATGAAACCAGCATAGGCATAGCATCTGCATTATGAACTCTTCGATTCGGAGAAATGAAATATTGCATATCCAGAGATTCTCAGATTAAGGACGGTATCTCTTCCATCTTCAATCATAAAATCTACAGGTCTTAACAATCTCTTGGATGCAGAAACTTCACATGATCCTCGCAAAGGCATTGAATTGGACGCATACTTGCCTAGAAAATCACTTAAAAGAGAATTTAAATCAAATTCCACAAAACCACAACGGATAAAGCAAAAAACACTGCTCATATATGAAAATTGGGAAGTATCCTCTTTCCATGAGTTATGGTATCCCTTGAGGAGATCCATCCATATCTGGCAGACAACGACAGAGCTATGACATATCCCCTGAGGAGATCCATCCATGTTTGGCAGACAACAACAGAGGTATGACATATCCCCTGAGGAGATCCATCCATGTTTGGCAGACAATGACAGAGGTATGACACATTTGAATAAATATTTTGTCACTAAGAGTGAGAAAAAGAAAATTCTGTCAATTAAAAACTTCACTCATTGTGTCTTAATATTGAGGTTTCAAGTAATCTTTGGTAACTGACAAAAGGTGTTTGAGAGGGCAACCAGTAAATTTATGTGCTTCAGATACAGGGGCTCCATTCATGCAAATGAGTACTCCACCAGATTACCTCAAGGTCAATCATTCATCAAACTTAATTATGCCTGATATTTGCATGATCTGATGAAGTTAACATGAAAACCCCTGGAATGTTGATACACGCAGGTCTTTGAATCGCCATTGTTTTGTCAATAGAGAAAACTAAATGCGCTACGTTGGCTAAGAGAGATAAGGAAATCCCTTGACCAGTCAAGTTCTTCAATTATAAGTTACAGGGATACCCAGTCCATCTTGAATGATGCAGATCAAACACACAGGTAAAGAATCTACCATGTCATGATCAACCAATAAATAAGGAAAAAAAAAACACACCTCTCTCTCAAAGAAAATGACTAAGTGATATGTGCAGTTAGTATTGACATCCCATTAGTTCTATAGCACACTTATCTAATCACCATGGAGGCCAATCTCTTCAAATGTGACCAAAAATCTACAAAAACTCACAAAAGAAGACATAAGAGCAAAAGAGATTCACCGTATTTGTTGTTACATTCTTATAAATGGAAGTAAATGAGGCATTTATGACAATCAAGCCCCAAAATAATGTTGATAACTGAAACCTCATAAATGAACAAAATGTGATAGAAATTTCACCCACGAGTCAAACCCAGCAAAAACCCAATACAAAATCAGCAACAGCTCAACACCAATAGCCGTATACAGAATAATACACAAAAACATACCAAAACCCCAAAACAGATAGCCATCAACGATAAAAAACATAAACAGGGGCATGGGAGAACACAGTCCATGGTTCAAACGAACCCATGGAACCAAAACCAATAATCAAGATTACAAAGTAAATTTTACCAGGAGGAAGGGTTGAACTAAGAAGCTTGAGAACTTCATCAACTTCTCTCTGTAATCTTTCTGATCTCTCCATGGGGTCAACTGGAAAGAACTTGTCACGCGTAAGATAGAGGTTATCCACCGATTCAAGCAACTTTGTAACCATGGGATCGCTCTTATCGACATCAGGAGCCATTGAACCAGGATCAGTCGCCATTGCCAGCTCTATGCAAATATCAGCAAAACCTAGAGAAATAATGATACCGGAAAACAAGCCTTCAATTCACTAGTTTTACAGTACAAGGAAGAATGAGTGACATGGCCCCAACCGCAAATGACAAATGACGACCGGACCCGACAAGTGGGCTAAAAAACCGTCGACCCGTGAGAAAAAAAATTAAATTGGGTTAAAACTAGACGAAACTTGTACTTGATGCAAAACCAGTATTTGAGCCATTTTGGCCGGTCCTACTAAGTTTGCAATTGGTTCGACCGCCAACTTTTTCTAATATATTACATATTTATAGAAAATTATCACAAATATATCTTAATTTTTATCTATTTAGAGAAAAAAAACTTTCAATTTTCATAAACCCAGCCCACATTCTTTTTTTTCAATTTTGAATTAGTTTTTACCAAAATAACATCACGATAGTCGTATTATCATGAAGTGAATTATTTTTTACCAAAATAACATTCACAATAGTCACTTTAATTATCGTAAAAACTAACTGTGTGGCCAATGGGTAGAGGCTAGAAAATCAAGCCGCAAGATCCGCACAATGTCCATGACCCACCAGAGCCGAGCAACACTCGAATGAAGGCCTGCACTGGAAGAAATCGATACGTGTGAGAAACCACGACTAGAAAGACATTACAGGACCTGGAACATACGAAAGACAAGGAACTACAACAACACAAAAGCTCATCGATTGGGACATGTCATGTTGCACCTGGGACACAACGGTGTAGACCTCGGGCCAGCCACCCCGCCATCATCCACAAAGAGTCATGTCAGGGAGGGAAGCAGGACTTCATCTAGTTGCCATATCACTTATGTGACGCGACAGCGCAGTTGGTCGGGGCCTGGTTTTCACTTTGGTCCTTGCGCAGGGAGGGTGTGCACGCACGCGAGAGAAAACCCTCTTTCAAACAACCGTGGGGATCCACATGTGCTGAGCACCTGTGGGTGGGGCTCTCCTGGGCACGGATAGGAACCAACAACGAGAGAGATTTTCACGACGAGGGGGGGGTGTTTACATCTAGATGCTCACCTCACCGTTTGGGGTTCGTGGGACACACCCGGGAGGTTTGCCCTCTTAGAACAATTACGAAGGCCTCCGTCTGTCTGCCAGTGTGGTTTGGACGAGGATTCTCTTTAGGCTTTCTAAGTATTCTCTTCTCTCTCTCTCTCTCTCTCTCGTCAGCAGTTGTGATGGGGCTTGATTATCCCTCCCTGTGGTGGTTCCCTCGGAGAGGCTGGCTGGCTGGCGGGAGGCTACGATAGAACTCGAGAGTTAGGACTCGTGGGTTCGCTCGTGATCGTGCGTCTGTTGCGAATGCGAGTTCTAGCGCATGGCAGACGGCTTGTAGAGGAGAAGGGAGTGGGGTTCGAGATGTGACGTGGCTTACAAGAGAAACAAAATGGGTCTGCGCACTCAGAGATGTTTTCTCTCTCTATAAAGGATAGGGACAGCACACTCAAGGGTATTTTATCTCTCTGAAAGTTTTCTCTCTCCTCTTAGCGGGATTAAGGGTTCAGGAGTAAAAGACGATTGAAAACAAACATTATGCCTCTGATTTAGTGATGAATAATCCGCCTTTTTACAAATGACTTAAGCTCGTTTATATGGAGAACTCACTAAACAGGGGTGAAATGCTAAAAGACTAAGCTTAATTACAATTAAAGAAAATAAAATAAAATTCCGAAATTAGGTACAATGATCAAAACGCTCTTAAAACCTTTTATGCAAATGGCCAAACCATCCCTGCCTGATGGTCCTCGCACCATTGGCAGATCTTGGAAGATTTTTTGAAACCTTGTAGCGATGGTTCAACTGGTTTGCTGTTATTTCCTCGATGCTCGTTCGATTCTGAGCATTTTGATGTCTTTTAATCGTGCTGAGGCAGCCTTTTCCCACTGAGTGGGAGTCCGGCCATATTTGTGATCACTAATGTCATTCGACCTATGATGCTCTGAGTCTTTATCTTATTTGCAGATGAAAGAGGAGACTGTCATAGTCATTTTGCACCAAGTTTGGCATGTTTTGGTCTTCATTTGAGGCATTTCCTAATTTGGGAGGTCCCCGAAAAAAAGGGATTATGGCGACTGAGCAGATGTACTTTTCCTGTAACCTTGGGATTTGTGCTTATCAGACCTTGGATCTGGTACAACAGTTATACCAGTTTGCATCTATTTGCGAGGTGGTTGCATTGAACTCGTTTTCATGATGATCAGATGCACGGATCTCGAGCTGTGCTTCACGAGGTTCAAGATGTCTTCTTCTTAAAACCCTAATTTTTCTGGATTTGAGGTCACATTCTTTATAGAAGAAGTTTGACTCTGGGTCACACCATGGTACATGCCATAAGTCAAAATGAAGGGGCTGTCGCGATCTAGAACATGTCAAAATTTGGGCTTTTTTTGGTTCTAGACGAATGTGTTGTGGGTCATTGAAGTCCTTCTCGAGATGTGATGTTGTAGTCTCTATGCTTGGGGACTGGTTCAGTGAAGCCGCAATGCCATACCTGTCTTGAGGCAATATGGGTGTAGACCCCTTTTGGGTGGTCCGATTGTGGCCAAATTTGGTCTTCAAGGGTTTTTCGACATTCTGAAAGCAATGACAATCGTCAGGTACTGTTCAGAAGCTGCTAGGGCAGGGCTATAGTTGTAAGGTCTTTCCTTGGCACGATAGCACTCCTCCTAAGTTGTTCAGTTTGCGGCTTATTTCTCGATACAACTTTGGTCTGTCAATGTCTTGTGTACTAGCAGGACCAAGCTATTACCGGCTCTCTTGTTATTTGTGTGGGAGCTGTAAGTATGCAAAAAATGACATATAACAACTTGCAAGATAGATGTTGCGTTTCGAGAGAAGCGAGAAGTGCAGCGTTCTGAATGAAAACTTTGTCGTCAAAGTTCATCTCTTGAATCCTTACTAAGATGAGTTTATTTTCCTCTCAACTAACAAGAACAAGAACAAGAAAAAGAATAAGAACAAGAACAAGAAAAAGAACAATAAGAACAAGAATAAGAACAAAAACAAGAACAATAACCAGAACAAGAATAAGAACAACAAGAGCAAAAACAACGATAAGAACTGATAAGCACAATAGTGATAACAAGAACAAGAATAAGAACAAAAATGATAAAAAACAAGAATATGACCAAGAAAAAAGAACAAGAACAACAAGAAGGACAAGTACAAGAAAGATAAAAATAATAACAACAACAAAAACAACAACAAAAAACAACAACAACAGGAAGAAAAAGAAAATAACAATAATTAGAACAAGAACCAAAACAAGAATAAGAACAAGAACAAGAACAAGAACAAAAACTAGTATAAGAACAAGAACAGGAAGAACAAAAACAAGTACAAGAACAACAACAATAAGAACAAGAACAATAAGTAAAAGTACGAGAACTAGAACAAGAACAAAAACAATAACAATAACAACAAGTAGAAGTACAAGAACAACAACAACAACAAAAAGAAAACAAGAAGAAAAAGAACAATAAAAACAAGCATAAGAACAAAAACAAGAACAACAAGAACAAGAACAATAATAAAATAAAAAATAATAACAACAACAACATTAACAATAAGAAGAACAATAAAGAACAAGAATAATAAGAACAAGAACAAGAACAAGAATAAGAACAAAAAACAGAACAACAACAAAAACAATAATACGAATAACAACATAAAAAACAAGAACAAGAACAAAAACAATAACAACAACAAAAATAAGAACAAGAACAAGAACAAGAACAAAAAAAATAACAAGATTAACAATAGCAAGAACAAGAACAATAACATCAAGAATAAGAACAAGAACATGAACAACAACAACATAAAAAAAAACAAGAATAAGATTAAAAAAAACAAGGACAAATACAAAAACAAGAACAATAACAACAACAATAACATATAACAAAAAGAATAAAAATAAGAACAATAACAGAAACAAGAATAATAACAACAAGAACAAGAACTAAAACAAGAATAAGAACAAAAAGAAAAAAAAGAACAAGAACAAGAACAAGAATAATAAAAACAAGAACAAGAATTAAAACAAGAACAAGAACAAAAATAAGAACAACAACAACAACAATAACAACTAGTATAAAAAACAAGAACAACAACAATTAGTACAAGAACAAGAAGAACAAAAACAACAACAATAACAACAAAAACAAGAAGAATAATAAAAAAAAAAGAACAAGAACATCACCAACCACAATAAGAATAAGAGCATTAATAAGAACAAGAACAATAATAAGAACAAAAACAAGAACGATAAAGATAACAACAAGAAGAAGAAAAAGAAAAAGAAGAAGAACGCAACAACAACAACACAAAAACAACAACATAAAGATGAAAAGAACAATAACAAAAACAACATAAACAAGAACAAGAATAAGTACCAGAACAAAAATAACATGAACAACAAAAACAAGAAAGACAAGAATAAGAACATTAACAATAGCAACAAGAACAACAACAACAAGAAAGACAAGAATAAGAACATTAACAACAACAATAAGAAAGACAAGAATAAGAACATTAACAACAACAACAAGAATAACAACAACGACAAAAAATAATTAGAACAAGAACAAGCAAAAGAATAACAACAATAATAACAGCAACAAGACGAACGACAACAAGAACAAGAAAAACAACACCAAGAAAAACAAGATCAAGAACCGAAACAAGAACAAGATCAAGAACAACAACAACAAGACTACTAAAACAAAAAAACCAACAACGGCAACAAGAAGAACAACAAGAACAATAATAAAAAAAAGAATAACAACAACGACAACAACAAGAATAAAAAGAACAATAACAAGATCAAGAACAACAACAAATAACAAAAAAAAGAATAAGAATAAGAACTACAACAAGAATAAGAAAAAGCACACCAACAACAACAATAATAAGAAACTGCAACAAAAACAACAACAAGAACAACAATAAGAATAAGAACAACAACAACAACAACAACAATAATAAGAACAAGAACAAGAACAAAAAAAGAGCACCAACCACAAGAACAACAATAAGAAAAAGAAAGGATAACAACAACAATAACAACAACAACAACAACCACAACAA